CTTTCCTTGTGAACTTTCCTTCTGCCAGGTAATAGCAATGTCCTTAGAAGACCAGCTTTCTTACGCAAAGGCTTTAGTAACTATTTGCTCGAAGCATAATAAGATTCTGAATTAGATGCAGAACTTCTCGTTGACCCAGGCATTTCCATGCAACTTGGAATACTATAGTCATTAGGTGTTGGTCGATTGGAAAAAAGGCAAGAAACCGAAAGTGTTACATGTCAGCATTCTCTGTGTTCAAAGATCACACTTCCTATTATCCCACCAACAATCTCTGATACAGAATCAAGCATATCTATAGAAAGTATGGAAGCAGGTTACCTAGATTTTTCAGATGTTCCCAATCTTATCTTGTTCCAACTCTTGTTCTCTAATTTAGAAGCTAATAAGTGAATGAAAGAATAGCTAAACAAATAAATAATCAAAGGTATAAAATACCTGAATGTAGGTCACATTCTTACATATATGTATAATAATAAGTAACTTCTATTTAAATTCTTAAAATATTTCTTTTGAAATACTTTCTTAGCAAACTTGCCCAAGTCTGGAAAGTAAGCACTATCTAAATGAGAATTTACTTACAACTGAATAAGTAAGGATGTAGATTTTCATTAATTTTTCTACTTGTGTTCCGTCTGTTAGGGGAAAGGGTGCGAGGATGATGGTGATAGACAAGTGGTACATTTGTCAACTTATAAAAGTTTATTAGATATATATAAAGTTAACTTTTGAAAAAATTATACACAGTTTAAAATAATCTTTGATTTTTTTTTTTTTTTTTATTAAATCCATTTGTTTTTCTCCCTTTAGGTGTCACGTCTTGAAATTTTAAAGGTTCTCAGCGACTCTTTACCTCTGGCAGATGACGTTGACCTTCAGCATGTGGCCGCAGTGACCGACTCCTTTACTGGAGCCGATCTGAAAGCTTTACTTTACAATGCCCAGTTAGAGGCCCTACATGGACGACTGCTCTCGTGTGGACTCCAGGTAAGTTATAGGAGAAGATCATTACTGTGACATATAAAAACCATTCACTGTCAAAATGTCAGCCTTGAAAAAAAGTAGTATTCTGGGGTGCCAGCTGGTAGTGTAGTGGTTAAAGTGCAGGATCCTAATGGTCAACTCCATGGTTTGAGTACTGGAGCCAGGAGCTTGACATACACATCGAGTATATGTGTATGCATGCCCAGATCCCAAGAGAAGAATGGAGAAGGGATTGTAGCATGCCCATCCTGAGAGGTAGTTTCTTATTTTCTCTTTCTGTCTGTCTCTCTCTGGGGAGCACATACACCCTAAAGCAAAAATCTAAAAAAGTGGTTTTTTTGGGGGGAGAGATTTTTGCTATAGTGCGCGTGCGCTCGCCAGACAGACAGAGACAGACAGTGAGACAGAAAGCGAGAAATCACCCCCCAGGGGGGATGGTCACGCCACAATCCTTTCTCCTCCATTCTCCTCTCGGGATCTTGGGCATGCACGCACACACACCCGGCGTGAGTTTTAAGCCACCAGGTCCGGGACGTGAACCGGGTCCAGGACGTGAACCGCGGTCAACTATGTGGGAGTCCAGCGACATAGCCGTTACGCTAACTGCTGGTCCCCAAAAAGTGTATATTATTTTTAACAACTTTGGTAAAACTAAAAATTCACATTTATGTTTAGTTGAATGGTCCGTGGTTGGAATATGGATTTTGCCCAAAATTTGTAATTTTGAAGAAGTTGATGTTTATTTCTTTAGCATTACCTTAATGTTAACAAAAACATGTTTTATGGATGTTGATGTTTAGAAGGATATTATTTAAATGAAGATATCATCAATTAGACAATATAAATAAAAAATAATTGGGGTTTTCAGTTTGTTTTGTACTTTAATTTTTAAGAAATAATCAAAGTCCTTACTTTTTTGAAGTTCAGATGGTCCATTCTGGCTGACAAAACTACCCTTTGGGTGACTCCTGTGGCTTTATGTCTTCATTATCTTTTGATCACTTCCTTACTTTCCAATACAGCAAACTGTTCTTGGCTCATCTTGTACTTTTTGTTTCTCAGGCCTAGAATCAGCCTTTTATTTTTGTTTTAATTATTACAGTAGATAATTTGAACTCTTCTATACCATAGACTTTATCATATATTTTTCAGAAAGCATTTTCCTGTTAATTCCTCTCCCCTACATTTCATTGGAGATTTTCTACAGGGCCTAAAGTTGCTAAACTAGGTACTCCCAACTTTTTGCTGTTTATTTTGCCAAGCTGTTAAAGTTCTTTTCCCCCTCTTTTACTACCAAACTATGTATTTCTTTTTTTTTTAATTTAAATTTATTTATTTACATTCATTCACTATACATCATTACAACATACAAAATGAGATTTTCCATCCAGAATACACTGTCTGTTGGCGCAATCAAGCACATCAGCATACATGTTATCATCAACAAATAATTTTCCATTTCTTGTTTCCTGTATATTTTGCTTTTTTTTGCCATCCTTGATTTCCTATCTCTCACCCTCTGCCGTGTCCCACCCTCCTCCCACACTGTCTCTGGTATCCATGGTTGCTTTCTATGCCTTTTCCCCCCATTTTATTGATTTGCTAATGAACTTAATTTAAATTCGTATATTATCAAGTGCAGCTGATAATATACATTCTATGAACACAAGTCTGACTTTAAGCATAAACCTCAGTGAGTAGAATGAACATACTATAAAGTAGCACCTAGCTGGGCCTATATAGCTTACTGCAGTGATCAAATATGCGTTGTTTTTCATTTCAAGAAAAATAGTTTTTATGTTTTTTTCTCCTGAAACTTTTTTGTTTTTTAATTAATTAATTTACATTCATCACCTAAGCATCATCACAGCCTGGTTTCCCATCCAGAATATACTGCATAGTGGCTTAATCATGCATGTTATCATCAATAATTTTCCATTTCTAGCTTCATATATATATTTACCCCTATGTCTGACTCTGCCCTTTCCCACCCTCTTCTCAAGCTATCTCTAGTGTCTACAGTTGTCTTCCATTCCTTTTTCCCCCACATTTTATTGTCACACAATTTCTTAAATAATCTAACTACTTTCAATAGCAAGTTCAGCTGGTAATTTCAAGAAAGGCAGTTTTGAATTGGTAAAGAAATTTGCTTAAAACTTAAAGCCTGAAAACAGGTTAGTATTCTGTTCAAATAGTAGGTACATGAACCTATTGACAGCTCAAGACAGGACAAAAACTCCTAAAACTGGACAACAAAACCTAGAAGAAAAGCAGCAATATTTTAGTCAAAAGTCACAGAATGCTATTTCACCAGTTCAGTCTCATGTACTTAATCTATCTTCTGTTGTGGTTCGATCTTCTCGATGGAATTCTGGGATATAATATTCAACTCCAGACTTGTCCCTACAATTAAGTTGGCCATTTTCTTAGTTTTTGAACTCTTATTTCTGTGTGTCTGCATTTAATTTTCCTGAATAGCACTCCCTTGAAAACTTCTTGGAGACTTTCCTCACTTGCATTGTTTCCGATGAGAGGTCTACTGTTAGCCTGATGGGATATCCTTTGTAGGTAACATGCTGTTTCTCTCTTGCCAATCTTGGTATCTTGTCTTTGTCTATGGTTTTGGTCAGAATGGCTATAATGTGTCTTGAAGAAGATCTTCTTGGGTTGATTTTATTTGGGGTCCTTTGTATTTCTTGGGACTGGATCTTTGAGTGCCTTTCTAGGTTTGGAAAGTTTTCTTGCAGGATTTCATGGAATAGATTATCAATGCCCTTATGAGTCAGTCTCTTTGCCTTCTGGGATGCCTATTATCCAGATGTTTGGACATTTGATGGTATCTAGTACTTCTCGTATATTATTTTCAAATTTTTGGGCAATTTTCTTCGTGGTGGAATTTTCTAGGCCAGTAATTTTCTCTTCTATGTCTGAGATTTTATTTTCTGTCTGATCAAGTCTGTTTTTAATACTTTCAAGGGAGATTTTGACATCCTGTATTATAGCCTTCATCTCTAATAGTTCCACTTGATTCCTTTGTAAAGTGTGTAATTCCTATTTTAGATCTTGCAAGAATTTCCTCACCTCCTGGAACTCATCAGCTCCTTTCTCCTTTATCTCCTGCAGTTCATTGTCTCTCTTCTCTTCCATCTCTGTTAGCTTCGCCATTATGAATGTTCTAAATTCTTTGTCAGACATTTCCATGATTTCCATTGAACTGTCTGTGGATGAAGAGGAGTTATTCTTTTCCCTTGGAGGAGAGGTATTTTCTTGCTTTCCCGTATTTCTTGTGGCCCTGCGGTGATTTCTAGTCATGTGATGGATGGTGTGTTTCTTCCCAAACTTGAAGCTCAGTCTGAGCATCCAGGAGCGTGCAGAAAAGGAAACAGAGAGAGAGAACAACAGCAACAAAAACAACCAAGAAACAGAGAAAAAAGAGAAGAAAAAACCTAAGAAAAGAGATTTTTTTAAAAAATAAAGCATAAATTAGAAAACCATGCAGCACACTTGCGTGCTGCGTGAAATCATTAGTTCTCAGGAGCCATTAAAGTGTCTTCTGAGGTCTTGCTCCTTTGCCTCTCCTGGGTTTGGAGGGGCAAGAGGGGATTACTAACAAGACAAAGGGAAGGGCTGAAAGCCAAGAAAATGCTTTACCTTAAAAAATTTTAGAAAGGAAAAATTATAAAAAAAAAAAAAAAAAGACCAAACACGAGGTAGAGGGATAAAAAAAAAAAAAAAAAAAAGACAAGAGACAGAGGTAGAGGGAGACAGAGACAGAGAGAGACAGGAGGCTTGAAAGTCTTCCCACCACTCGAGTTTGTGGTCTGAAGGCTGAATTATCAGTTGAAAGTCTTTTCACTTATTCCCCCTGAAATCACTAGTTCTCAGCAGCCATGAAGATGTCTTCTGAAGTCCTGCTCCCTTGCCTCTCCTTATATAGCAAGGCTCTTTGAGCCAAGACCTTACTCAGCTTCTTCCATTCTGTCATTCTTACATAACCTCAGCAGACAGCCTTCCTGAGAAGGCGCAGGGTGGTCTCTTTTCTAGGGAAGACCCTGAACTCAGGGGTCTTTAATTAGGACTGGGGGGTCAGAAGTTACAGGTTGTAGCCAGACTCCAGGAGAACTCACTCTGGGTGGGGGGGCCTGGGCAGGTTGATTTCAGCCTTGAGCCTCAGTTCCCTCGTGTATGTCAGGAGGGGTCTCGTGGCCTTCTCAGCGAGTTGCAAGAAGCACATGCAGCTGGATGCCGTTTTTTTGTTGTTGTTTGTTTTGAGAGAGGTTTTTGCTATAGGCACGTGCACTCACCAAAAAGAGAGAAATCACCCTCTGGGGGGATGGCCATGCCACAATCCCTTCTTCTCCATTCTCCTCTCAGGATCTTGGGCATGCATGCACATGCTCCTGGTGTGAGTTTAAGCCACCAGGTCCGGGACTCGAACCACGGTCAACTACATGAGAGTTCAGCGACATAGACATTATGCCAACTGCTGGTCCCCCAAACTATGTATTTCTAAAACATTCTATATTTGGAAAACATTTTAATATGGTCGATTTATCATTTTGGAGTAGAAAAATATGAATAGAGAGGCAGAGACATAAAGTCCACAAGTCTGAGTCCTAGCTTTGTGATAAACTTTTCGGAGGGATGGTTGACAACTTACCCATGCAACTCATCTTGTCTTCCCCTTATTTTTTCTTTAAAGAATTATTTAATTTTATTCATCATTATTTTTATTTTTAAAATTTAACTAGGGAGAGAAATAGAGGGAAAGTGAGAAGACAAGCTGCCAGATCCAGGACTCGAACTGCTATGGCCATGTGAGAATCCAGCACCTTAACCACCACACTACCTGCCAGCCCCATCTTCCATTATTATAATAGTTTTACAGTTTACCTCAAAACCATTAGAGAATTTATAAGAGCTTTTTGAGAAATGTTTCCTCATTTTTGATGCTATCTATGATATCGTTTCTGAGTTGTGAATTATTTAGATCTTTTCACCTGGCTGTCCTTTTGTGTATTTTAGGATGGAAGTTCCAGCTCTGACAGTGACCTAAGTCTGTCTTCAATGGTCTTTCTTAACCACAGCAGTGGCTCTGACGATTCAGCGGGAGATGGGGAATGTGGTTTAGATCAGTCCCTTGTTTCTCTAGAGATGTCTGAGATCCTTCCAGATGAATCAAAATTCAATATGTACCGGCTCTACTTCGGAAGCTCTTATGAATCAGAACTTGGAAATGGAACCTCCTCTGACCTGGTATCTTGCGCAGTGTTGTTGCACAGTCCTGACATAAAAGCTGTATGTTGGTGTAAAGTTGAACAGTGATTTATCTCCTAACCAGCCCCACATATCCTTTCTGGTTGGTTGGTTCTTCAGTAAAACAGTCTTGTTTTTCTCAGTAACACTAATTAGCAATTTTCATTTTTCTTTTAAGAACTTTAAGATGCGTCTGGGAGCAAGGGGAACCAAAGTAGTGAGTGGTTGAGCTTACCCTTTGGATTCCTTCAGGTTCTTCTCTCTAATTCATTAATGGTTTTAAAATGTCTTTCATACCAGATCCATTTTATAGTAAACTTAAATTCTGTTATCAAAGAACAGTTGAGGATTATGAAAAATTAGACATGATAATGTCAAAAATTCCTGAGAACAAGGACCAGCAGATGGCGAAATAGTTAAGTCACTGGACTCTCATGTAGTTGACTGTGGTTTGAGTCCTGGACCCAGTGGTTTAAACCTCATGCCAGGCACGTCTGCATGCATGTCCAAGATCCCAAGAGGAGAATGGAGGATAAGGGGTTGTGGCATAGCCAAATCCTCTGGGGACAATTTCTTGCTTTCTGTCTCTCTGGCAAATGCATGTGCCTTATAGCAAAAAAATCTCTTTAAAAAAAAAAAAAATTCCTGACCATAAAATGTTATCTATTTGTGATAGTTTTTATGGACAGTATAAGCACAGTAATGTTTCAACAAGGAAAATGTTTAGATCAAATGTGGCCAATATGGGGGCCAGCAGGTGACGTTGTGGTTAAGGTGCTGGACTCCCACATGGCTGACTGCAGTTCAAGGCCTGGACCTTGAAAAATCAAGGCTTTCAAATCATACTGGGCGTGCCCAAAATCCCTGGAGGAAAGTGGAGGAAAAGGGATTGTGACGTGGCCATCCCATCCCTGGGGGGTGATTTTTCATTTCTCTCTCTAGTGGTGCATACCTCTATGACAAAAACCTATTAAAAAATTAAAAAGGCCATTATCAGTGTTTTTTACATAATTAAAATAGTATTCACTAAAAAGAACAATGGTTTATGATTACTGTATTGGTACATATAACATTTTTACATATATTTAATCTGTTTAGTAATATATTTCTTATTTTTACATTTACTTATTAATTCAGCTTTTAAAACCTTTAAAGAAACCCATTTTGATTCCTAAGAATAATAGTCTTTTTAGTCTTATTCTGTTTTCTGTTTCTTAACTGCTATCTAGAACTCTCTCAGAACCCTAGCATAACTCTGTTTGCTGAAAACTGGGAGTAAGGGTCATTTGGAATCTATCCTTTGGCATTAGTGCGTTAGATTTAACTAACAAAGCAAAAAATCAAAAATGCTATGTTGTGGCAGTTTTTACCATGTGGTTCTGCAAAAAGGTATTAGTGAATCTTTATAGGATGTGACATCTTTCAGACTTGCTTAGTTTCGGTTAAGTAAAACTGTAAACTTATCTATGTTAAGATTTTATTGCTTAAATCTTTCAAATTTTATCTAAATAAATCTTCCTCTCTCTCTTACTTCTCTCTCCCTTTCATCCGTCCTTCTTTCATGACTGCTACTAACCATGCAGAGCTCACAGTGTCTTTCTGCACCAAGCTCCATGACTCAGGATTTGCCTGGAGTTCCTGGGAAAGATCAGTTGTTTTCACGACCTCCAGTGTTCAGGACAGCTTCGCAAGAGGGTTGCCAAGAACTTACACAAGAGCAAAGAGATCAACTGAGGGTGGATATCAGTGTTATCAAAGGCAGATACCGGAGCCAAAGTGGAGTATGTATTTCTGTGATTTGTAAATGAGCTATACTTCAAACCGGGTCCTAAAACACATTGGCTGAGGCCATGGTTATGCATCTTCTTGCTTTCACACAATTTTTAGTTATTTTAAAAGGAATATCTACTTCAATCTCATGAAAAAACTGTCAGAAAGAAGTAACACTCAAACTGCCACTTTTTCCATCATTTTCGTAAGTTAATTTTTTGTCAATTTCTTTTTTATTTAAGGAGGATGAATCCCTTACCCAGCCAGGACCAATCAAAACCAGTCTGGCTATTAGTCAGTCACATTTAATGACTGCACTTGGTCACACCAGGCCGTCCATTAGTGAAGACGACTGGAAGAATTTTGCTGAGCTGTAAGTAACATCTTCTGATTTGGATGTATAGATATTATTGTAGGTGACACAGGTTACTCATTTAAACTTCTAACTTAATTTCCAGAGTGTATGTATGCTCACTGGAGAGAGAGAGAAAGAGAGAAAGCATCCCCCATGGGGGATGATCATGCTGCAATTCCCTCTCCAATTTTCCCTCCTTTCTGGATTTTGGACACTCACACACACAAGCCTGACATGCATTTTAAGTCCCAGATCCAGGACTTGAACCATGAGGTCAGCCATGTGGGATCCAGCCATCTTAACCATTTGGCTGGCCCTCACAACTTTTAAAATTCTTATTTAAAGTTATAAATAATATTTTGAATACTTAAAAGCTAATTCAAGGAGCCAGCAGGTGGTGTGGTGGTTAAGGTGTTGGACTGCCACATGGCCGACTGCCGTTCCAGTCCCAGATCTGGTAGCTTGCTTTCTCACTTTCTGTCTCTGATGGGCACACATGTTCTATAACAAATGAAAACATAACAACAGCTGACTGAGCCGTTTGCATCTCAGACCTGGTGGCTTGAAATTCACACTGGGTGCGTGCTTGTGCATGCTGAAAGGGAAAATGAAGGAGAAGGGATTATAACACAACCATTCCCCCAGGGGGTCATTTCTCACTTTTCCCCCTCCCTGTCTCTTTTTCCCTCTCTCTCCCCCTGCGCCCCACCCCTGTGAGCACACGTGCCCTATGGCAAAAAAACTAGAAAGAAATGCTAATTCAAGGGCTGAACAGTGGTGCAGCTGTAACACAACACTCAGTGAGACCGACCCACATGGGAAGGTTCTGGGTTTGCATCTAGAGACCTCCCTGAAAGCGCTGGGTATGTGCATGCCAATGACCTAGAACTGGCTGAAGTTGGGGGTGAATTGCAGCATGAAGACTCTGTTGAAGGTATCCTTCTCTTCCTCTCTCTCTTTCTCTTGCTTATGGAAGAAATAATTTTTTTTTAGAGATCTTTCCTATAGGATGTGTGTCCCCTGGGAGGCCACACCACAGTCCCTTCTGTATTCTCCTCTTGGGATTTTGGGCACACACACACACACACACACACACACACACACACGTGCCTGATATGTTTGTTTTTGGTTTTTGTTTTTAGAGGTTTTTGCTATAGAAAGCACCAGAAAGACAGAGAGAGACAGAAAGCGAGAAATCACCCCTGGGGGAAATGGCCACGCCAGAATCCTTTCTTCATTCTCCTCTCCGGATCTTGGGCATGTATGCACACGCGCGCAGCGTGAGTTTAAGCCACCGGGTCCGGGACTCGAATCGCAGTCGACTACATGGGAGTCCAGCGACATAGCCATTACACTAACTGCTGGTCCCTTGTGCCTGATATGTTTTAAGCCTTTGGGTCCAGGATCCAAACCGTGGTTGGCCACATGGGAGTCCAGCGCCTTAGCCATTATTCCACCTGCTGATCTGAAATAAATGTTTGTTTGTTTGTTTGTTTGTTTTTTAATTTGAACTCTAGGGGCTGGCAGGTTGTGTGGTCGTTAAGGGTGATTGACTCCTACATGGCCAACTGTTGTTTGAGTCTTGAACCTGGAGGCTTGCTTTCTCACTTTCCCTCTCACTCTCTGGAAATAAATAAATAATAATAATAATAAATAAAGTTAAATAAAATAATTCTTTAAAAATGATCCAACTCAAGAAATTTGTGTAGTGGGGTCGGCAGGTGGTGTGGTGGAGAAGGGTGCTTGACTCCTACATGGGTGACCGCAGGTCAAGTCCTGGACCTGGTGGCTTGCTTTCTCGTTTTCCCTCTCTCTCTCTCTCTGTCTCTCTGACCAAACTGGAAAATGATAATAATAATAATTAATAAAGGTAATTAAAAATAAATAAATAAGGTGACACAGAAAACACACACATACATGTTGAAAAATGTTTGTGTAGTAGTAATGCATTTAAACATCACAAAACTTGAACAATACAGATGTCAAAACTGAATTTTTGTTACTTCATTTGATTATAGATGAATTATTTATAATGAATTAATTTAATTTTATTAACTTAAGAAAAAGAAGAAAAATAAAAACTCAGAATGATTCTAATATATAACTAGCAATATATGTTATGAAAGATATAATTGTTTGGCTTTTAAAATAACTCATATATTATTACTCTTAGAAACATTTAAGTATATGCAAATGTAATCACTTTTGTAGACCAGGTTTAGTATGCATCTGAGTTTATAGGCTTCTTGTAGTTGACTGTAGCCACTCATGAGTCTGAGACCGATTGACTGGGAACATCCTGGGGTAGAAATTGATTCCTGATCTTTAGAAGCTACAGGTCTTGGGCCAGCTCGTAAAGCAGTGATAGTGCCCTTCTCAAGTGAAGCTGGATCCCACATGGCAACCATGGTTCAGATGCCCGCTTGGTCAGGCCCAAACACACCTGGGGCATGCGCAAGTACCCTGGATCAAATGGACTAGGGGAGTGGAAAAAGGGGGTGGTGGCACGACCACCCCCTGTGGAGGGTGTGCGTCTTTCTCTCTCTCATGTATGCATACATGTTCTATCATAGATGCAAAGGGAAAAAAATTATTTTTTTAAAAAGCAGCCACTTTTCTTATTTAAATTTACAGTACTCACACCTGGGGCATGCGCAAGTACCCTGGATCAAATGGACTAGGGGAGTGGAAAAAGGGGGTGGTGGCACGACCACCCCCTGTGGAGGGTGTGCGTCTTTCTCTCTCTCATGTATGCATACATGTTCTATCATAGATGCAAAGGGAAAAAAATTATTTTTTTAAAAAGCAGCCACTTTTCTTATTTAAATTTACAGTACTTTGGTTATGACATGTTCTATCATAGATGCAAAGGGAAAAAAGTTATTTTTTAAAAAAGCAGCCACTTTTCTTATTTAAATTTATAGTACTTGGTTATGTGTGTGTGTGCATATATCAGTAATATATAGTTAATTGTAGAAAAATCAGAAAATAAAGATAAGGAAAAATAAGAAAGAAATTTCTGTTAATCCCACTGCTTCCCGAAGCATCTTTATATGTTCATATTTTTTTTTTTACTAAAATAAGAACATTCCACACGTACTACTTTAGAGCAGCCCCTCTTTTATCTATTTATACATCTTAACACTTTTTTACATTTTAAATAAGTTACTAGTTTATATTAATTAATTAATTTATTTATTTTTGCCAGAAGATGAGTGTGCTTACCAGAGTGCCAGAGGGGAGAAAAGGAGAAAGCGCCCCCTAGTGGTGTGGCGGTGAGCTCTTCAGAGACAGAAACAGAAAACATGCCCTCTGGCCGATTTTTTTTTTTTTTAAATCATACGGTATGCGCACTTGCACACTGTCCAGGGACAGAGAGAGAAAGTGAGAAATTACTCCTTGCCCAGGAGGAGGGCCACACCACAATCTCTTCTCTTGGGATTTTGGGCATACAGGCACACACACATGCCTGGTATGAATTTCAAGCCACTGTATCTAAGAATCCAGCTCCTTAACCACCACACAACCAGCTCACCTCTGGCTTTTTTTATTTTTTTTATTTTATTTTTTTTAAGAGATTTTTGCCTTAGGGTGCATGTGCTCACCAAAGAGAGAGACGGAGAGAGGGAAAGTGAAAGTGAGAAATCACCCCCCAGGGGGGATGGCCACGCCATAATCCCTTCTCTTCCATTGTCTTCTCGGGATCTTGGGCACGCACGCACATGTGCCAAGCATGACTTTCTTTCCTTTTTTTTTTTAGAAAAAAGGATTATCTAACTATTTATTTATTTTAATTTGACTAGAGTGAAATGGAGTGAGAGAGAGAAAAAGGAAAAGCCAGAAAGCAAACCGCTAGGTTTGGGATGCAAAGCGCTGTCGGCCATGTGAGAATCCAGCACCCTTAACCACCACGCCACCTCCCAGCACCCCGTGTTATTTTCAAGCCACTGGGTCTGGGACTAGAATCGCAGTCGGCCATGTGGGAGTCCAGCAATGTAACTGCTAGGCCATCTGCTGATCCTGGCAAATTTTTTAAAAAAGAAAATTTATTTGTAAGAACTCCCTTTAATTTGTATTACAAAGATTTATTTCCAGTTTGTTATTTGCCTTTTGTTTCCTAAAATATAATTGTTTGCAACCAGTTTATAATCTATTGTAAGTATGGTATTTTTGTGCATTAAATGTTGTCTCTCTTACTTTTGTTAAGGTATGAAAACTTTCAAAATCCCAAAAAGAGGAAAAATCAAAGTGGAACAATGTTTCGACCTGGACAGAAAGTAACTTTAGCATAAAATACCTCCAAGGCAGGTTACTACATTGTAACAGTAGAAATGGTGTCTGAAAAATTAAATTAATCTCAGATTGGTAAATGCGGTGATTATGATTATATAATGATCGGGATTACTGGAGATGAAAACTGTAGAGCAAATCAAGATATTTATAATGGATCCTGTATTTTGTTTTCAATAAATCTACATTAAATCCTTAATGAAATAAGTACCTGGTTTATTTCACCTATGAAGGAAAGATAATGGAGAATGGAGAATACAATTAAATTAATTGCATCTTTCTAACATCTGACAAATTTTAGGCCTAGCAACTTCTTGTCAGTTTTGGAAATAAAATATTCCATTTACTAACCCAGTTATCTGTCCTTATGTCAGAACATAATGGAATTTACACAGAATTCAAATTAATTAAATCTTCAACCAGAAATGAAATCACAGCCCCCTACTATGCCTTATTTAGCTTCAGTCCTGCATCTTTGAATGATGTCCACTCCTCTCCTAGGTTCAGCAAGATTGCATTTTGATACCCTGCACCCTCTGAACTAGGCTGTAAAGTTAGCCACGGTCAACACAAACTGCATCTCTAGTATCTCACCAATGGGGTGAGGGACATCAGACAAGGAGAAAGTTAACATACAAATAGATACATGAGACAGCAATGAAGCGTGTAGGCAGTTGCCCTTCCTGCGGCTAATCATGAGGCCACGTTTGACATGTTTATTTCTCATTCCATGCTTCTCGACTTCAGTCTGCACTTCAGGAATCACAGACCTCTCTAGGTGGGGTGACCTGAAACCCCCATTCCCATCTGAGCACTGGTAAACCTCCCTGTCTGAGATTGTAGAAGTCTTCCATTAAACGTCATCATTGGCCAGCATAGCCCACGAGGTTCAGCCATACTTTTTCCATCGCCCACTGTGTGGCAGCAACTCTGTCTTCCTTCATTGGACAATTCCCTCAGCTTCATAACCCTCCTCTTCCTGACCATTGGCAGCAGGTGGTGTGGAGGTTAGGGCGTTGGATCCCACATGGCTGACAGCAGTTCAAGTGTCAGATGTGGCAGTCTGAAAATCATGCTGGGCATATGTGTGCATGCCCCAAATCCCTAGAGGAGACTGGAGGAAAAGGCTGCAGCATGGCCATCCCCACGGGGGATGATTTTTCACTCCTCCAAAAACCTGTCTCTTAAGTGCCTGCACCTTCTAGCAAAACTAAAAATAGTTTAAAAAAAAAAAAAAAGTTCTCCCTTGGAAGATTTCCTGCCCCCTTAATCTAGCAGTAATGCACTCACTGACAGGTAGATTACAGTGGAACTTGAGTCTCCAGGAATTCATGTTAGTACAGGCCCAGTATCTGATAATCCTCAGAATGTCTGCTTCTCAGGGTTCCCGGAAAACGGGCTAGTGAATGGCCTTGGATCGTTTGGGGAACACTTGGAGGAAAGAAGAGTCCTAGCAAGTACTTGTGATGTTTATTGCAAAGGCCCTTTTCCTAGATACCTGGCTTCTTCATTCTTGGTCTAATCTAGGCCTGAGAATTGGGTCAGGGGCCATGACTATGTTGTGAAGACTCAAATAAGGGTTTTGTTTAAGATCAGGGAGATTTATTTTTCCTTTCTTTTTGTTTGGGGGTTGGGGGGCAGCGATTATTGCTGTATGGTGCATTTGCTTAGCAGAGAGACAGAAAGCAAGAAGTAACTTATGCCTAGCGTGTGCGTGTGCATGCCCAAGATCCTGAGAGGAGAATGGAGAAGGGATTGCAGCCAGCGTTGCCATCCCCCTGGGGCGGGGGGTGGTGATTTCTCGCTGTCTGTCTTTCTGGTGAGCGCCCGTACCCTATAGCAAAACGCTCCCCAAAATAAAAAAAAAACAATCGAATCACTGCATTTACTTAAGCATGTTGTTCATGTCCCTTTCAAGGGCTTAAGAACTGCTAACTTATTGGGCCAGCAAGTGGTTTAGTGGTTAAGGTTAACATGGCCAACCATGGTTTGAGTCCCAGACCCGGAGGTTTGCTTTCTTACTCCCCACCCCCCATCCCTCTCTGGTCAAAAATAAATAATTCTTAAAAAAAAAAAAAAAAAAAAAAAAAACTGTTAACTTATAAAATTTTTATAGGGGACAGCAAGTGGCATGATGATAAAGTGCTAGTCTCCCGCGTGGCCAGCTGCAGTTCGAGTTTCAATAAAATAAACAAATCCAAGGTAAACATAGTGAAAAATATTTTAATGCAAAAGTTTTGAACACCAGCATTTAGAAAGTTATTTACAATAGTATTTACAATTTTCTACAGCTTTTGTGAACAGAGATGACTATGTACAGAATTTGTATCTACAGTTGCTTTTTTCCAACACACATTGTAAGTGTACCCAAAAAGGCCAACTGTTAAAGCTGCTACAGTTCAAAATCACTGTGATCATGTAAGATTGACAAATTTTCCTGGGCTGAAAAATGGTGGTTAAGTGATAAGAAAGCAAGTATGCATCCCCCCCTCCACCCCGTTTATGCTGTTGCTGCTCCCTTAAATGACCTGTACTTGAAAAATTTAGACCTAAAATTCGAACAACAGACATCCAACAGACCTTCCAAATCTAAGCCATGGTTTTAGGTATATTGTTATGGTTTACCTTAAGGGTTAGGTATCGGTGCTAATGACCTACTGATCACTTTCATGACTACCGATGGTTGTCCTAATGGTAGTCAAGTGGGATTGACCAGTACACATTTGCCATGTGAAGTTGTCTGTCTGCCCCAGAAAATCTTAAGGTTTGACTCAAAGCCTCATTTTGACTGAGAAGCTGAAAAGTCAAGGGCAGCTATACTATAATCAACTGAGGGGCTGGCAAGCAGCCCGGTAGTTAAGGTACTGGATCCCATATGGCCAACTGTGCCCTTCAAGTTTTAGACCTGGTCCTGGACCTGAGGACTTGAAAAACACGTGGGGTCATGTGTGTGCATGCCAAAAAAATCCTGAGAGGAAAATGGAGGAAAAGGGATTGTGGCATGGCCAATCCTCGGGGGAGGTGAGGGAAGAGGGGGCTGATTTCTTTCTTTTCCTCTCTCTCTCTTCAGTGAGTACATGTATAATAGAGCAAAACACTGGGGGAAAAAAACCAAAACAATTCTGAATGCCTGTTTGCTGTAGAAGATTAAAGTTTTATTAATAAAATACCTGGGCTATTAAATTATCTACCAACTACCTTCCTCATGGTTACAGCAGGCAGCTGTCATACCATTTTCTAGATGAGAACATAAAGCCCTGTGTGGTTTTATAATAGATAGTCATATAAAACTGTTTTAATTAAGCCGTTGGGTGGAAATCCAAAACCTACTTAATATTTTATTTAAGAGGAAAAATATAATCCATTTTTTTACTTTCTGGAAATAAATTATAGGGAAACACAGGTCTCCTTGGAGATCAGCCTTTGCTTGGGAAAACACATAGAATGTAATACTTAACTTCAAAATAGGTTTCATTTTTTTCCTAGCCCTTTTAATTTTCTCAGTGACTAGTAATAAACAAGCTAATAATTACTGGGTTGTAAGAAAAAACTGCAGTCATTCTTCTACCTAAGAAATTGAACCATGGGGCATACCTTGTAGTATTAGGAGTACATGATAACTGAAAGTCGAATTTTAATTTTTAAACTACAAATGATTGGCAACAGTTTCCTTAATAGTTATTGCAGGAGTAGGTCCAACATGAGTCCAGATATAGCCCTTCTCTGGTCTGGTGGGGACTGTGGGAAATGGTGATGACCGTGACTTAAAGTACTCAGAAGGTGCATGACAAACAAACTCCAAGTATTCCATCTTCCTTGGAAGGTCTTCCTCTGGCCCTAGAAGGTAGCCAATGGAAAAGTGAAATACATTTTGAACGTAGTTATCATTTTCATAAGATTCTAACATTCTTAGACACTAGCAGAGAGGCTTGGGGCGACTTGATATTAGCCCTTGAAATCTGCCTTACTCCAAAATCACTCTTTGTCATTTTTCTTCTTTAACTGCTTAAAGAATATGATATTCTCCCCCAAACAATGGTTGAATAGATTAATAATTCAAGAAATAATTCTGAGCATTGACAGAGTTTATTTTGTCTGCACTGTTCTAAGTAGTTTACATGTATCAGTATTCCGAATCCTCACCATGACCCTCTCAGGTAGGGATCTTACTATTCTCATTTCACACATCAAGAATGGGAGGGAAGAGAGGTTAAGGGACTTGCCCAAGTCACACCAGTGGTAAGTGGCTCCAGAGTGTACGTCTCTGACCTCCATACACACTACATTCTCGGGCAGGGATGCATATCAGAATCTGGGGATTAGGAAGAGGAGGTGAAGAGATTGGGGTAATACATCTGGTAATATCCAGATAATATACATTATCCCCTCTGCTGGGATCCCGTCCACAGATTAAGTAAGTGAAAGCTTATTTTTCTGTGCACTAGCAGAGGGCTAGAAATATTTGGTCATACATCCAATTGGACATGAAGGTGAGAACAAGAGTGGTATATTATTTGTCCCTGAAGTTCTTTCCTGTAGAAAAAAAATATATAGGGGCCAGCAGTTACCGTAATGGCTATGTCGCTGGACTCTCACGTAGTCGACCGCTGTTCGAGTCCCGGACCTGGTGGCTTATAACTCACACCGGGCGCGTGTGCGTGCGTGCCCAAGATCCCAAGAGGAGAATGGAGGAGAAGGGATTGTGGCGTGGCCATCCCCCCAGGGGGTGATTTCTTGCTTTCTGTCTCTCTGTTTCTCTCTGTCCGTCTGGCGAGCGCACGAGCCCTGTAGCAAAAACCTCTCAAAAAAAAAAAAAAAAAGAAAGAAAGAAAAAATATGTTTTGTTTTTTCCCCTCAGGATGGGTAAGTAATGCATGCTCATTGCAGAAAAACTGAAAATTTCAGAGTAACTTACCAAATCTAAACACTTAAAAAAAAAGATTTATTATTATTATTATTTAATTTGCTACAGGGCATGCATGTTCACCAGGGAGAGACAAAGAAAGCAAGAAAGAGAAAGTGAGAAAGCAAGTCGCCAGGTCCCAGACTTGAACCGTGGTCCCCCATGTGGAAGTCCAGTGCCTTAACCACCATGCCACCTACTGGCCCCTCTAAACACTTTTAAAAATTGTTTAATCAAGGACCAGCAGATGGCGTAATGGTTATGTTGCTGGACTCCCATGTAGTTGTCCACAGTTCAAGTCCCAAATCCAGCAGCTTAAAACTCATGATAGGGACATGTGCATGTGTGCCCAAAATCCCGAGAGGAAAGTGGAGAAGGGACTGCAGTGTGCCCATCCCTCTGGGGGGGTGATTTCTCACTTTCTGTCTCTCTGTCTCTATCTGGTGAGCACACATGTCCTATAGCAAAAAGTCTCTCTAAAAATAAAAATTGTTTAATCAGTAATTTCTTGTGAGTCTAAAACAAGAACTTTTTTTATCACGTCTTTTGGCAGCCTTGAAATGAACAAAAGTATAGGGGTTGTCATATCAAGCAACAACAAATTCTTTAAAGATCTTGGCTGATGTGTCAGGTGGAGAGAAGCTGTGAGATTTCTGAAATTATTTAGATAGTTCTATTAGAAATTATTCTTTGTAGATTTTTAAAATCAGTATAAATATAAATGACCTAGTTCCTGAGCAATATATTCTTTTATACAGTTTAACTTCTTTTCTGAGGGTCACTAAGAAAAATCTTATCCTTTTAATGTTTTTAGTAGGCACACATTGCTGACTCAAAATAACTGATGGCACTCAAATCCCAGCTATATAAAATGTCTCTCTTGTTTTCTATAAAACTGTCTTTTTATAAAATGTCTCTCTTGTTTTCTATAAAACTGCCTTCTTTTTTTTTTGTACTTAGCAAGGCTTATTTTTTTCTGTTAAGAATTGAATTGTAGTGCTCCTAAATTCATGTGTTGAATCCCTAATCCCCATTATGATGGTATCTGGAGATGGGCTTTGAGAGTGAAGTCATAAGGCTGGGACCCTCATCGGAACTGGTGTCCTGACGAGAAGGGACACCAGAGGGCTCCCTCCACATGCACACAGAAGACGGGCCACAGGAGGACGCAGCAAGAAGGCAGCCTTCTACAAGCCAGGTGGGAGGACGCCTGGAAACCAACCCTGACTGCACCATGATCTTGGACTTCCAGCCTCCAGAAAACACATTTCTTCCCCCCCTCCCGAATAATTATTTAGTTTTATTTATTATTTTTTAAATTTGCCACAGGGCACATAGCTGTTCTTTTAAGAACCCGTGCCGTCCGTCAGACTCACCTATGATATAGGATGCAGGATCAAATTGGTCTCTGGGACTTGAGAGAGTGGGAATGAGCCACGTCAGCGCCGCACTCTTCTCACAGTACTGGTCCTGGATAAAACCCCGGATCTGAGCATAGTAGGGCTTCCCATCTTGTTCATCAATCACAGAAACCACGTCACCAATTTGGTAATACACTCCCTGGGAGAAACGGAAGATAATCCCATATTTAAAATGAAAACTGAACAGTGCCACAGCTATGAACCAAACTTCCTTAATATGAAAACGGGTTTGCTTGTTTGTTTGGAGAGGTTTTTGCCTTAGGGTGCGTGCACTCACTGGAGAGAGACAGACACAGTGAGAGGGAAAGTGAGAAATCACCCCCCAGGGGGATGGCCACTCACAATTCCTTCTCCTCCATTCTCCCAGGATCTTGAGCACGCACACACAGTTGCCTGGCATAAGTTTGAAGCCCGAGTCCAGAACTCAAATTGCAGTCAGCCAGGTATGTGGGAGTATAGTGATGTAACCACTATGCCATATGATGGACCCTGAAAGCAGGTTTAAAAAAAAAAAAATACAAGGTCTTTGAGGTGTTCTAATGTCTCAATGCTTGTATGTTCAATGCCCCTTCTTTTGTTTTTTTTTGAGAGGTTTTTGCTATAGGGCACGTGTGTTTTCTGGAAAGACAAGAGACAGAAAGCGAGAAATCACCCCCCAGGGGAGATGGCCATGCTGCAATCCCTGCTCCTCCATTCTCCTCTCAGGATCTTGGGCATGCACACACACGCACCCGGCATGAGTTTAAGCCACTGGGTCTGGGACTCAAATCGCGGTCGACTACATGGGAGTCCAGCGACATAGCCATTATACCAACTGTTGGTCCCTGTTCAATGCCACTTCTAAAGTTGTTTGAATTTCTTTTTATAAAAAAAATCTTTAATTGTCAGAGGGTGTGTGTGCTCACCAGAAAGAGAGAAAGCACCCCCCAATGGGGTGTGGTCCTATCACAATCATTTTTCCTTCATTTCTCTATTCCATCAGAATCCTGGAGGTGCACAAACATGCACCTACTGGGTTTTTTTAAGCTGCTGGGACTGGGGTTTAAACCTTGGTTGAGCAGGTGGGACCTGACTATCAATGCACTGTGCTTAACCACTGTGCTACAGAGCTGGCTCTGAAGTTGTTTAACTTTTTTTTTTTTCCATAAACTCTTTTTTTTTTTTTAAAGGTTGTTTAACTTTTGAATAAGACAATTATACACACATATGCATGTACATATGCCAATCTGCATCTGAAGAAAACATTCCACAATAATACTTTCATTTTGTATCACAACAGTACTACCCCTGTTTTCATAAAACTAGATTTCGTCTTGGAACCAGCAGGTGGCATGGTGGTTAAGGCACTGGACTTCCACATGGGTGACCATGGTTTGAGTCCCAGATCCAGCAGCAGTTTGAAAATTACACTGGGCATGTGTGCGTGCCTGCCCAAAATCCTGAGCAGAGAATGGAAGAGACTGTGGCGTTCTTCCTCACCCTGGACGGGGGTGATTTCTCACTTTCTTTCTGTCTCTTTCCAGCAAGCACATGTGCCCTCTGGCAAAAAAACCTAAATAAAACAAAACAAAAAAATACTTCTAAGATCAGTTTTAGGTTTATGGCAAAATTGAGCAGAAGGTACAGAGATTCCTCATATACCTGCTGATCCAATACATATACAGCCCCCCTGCATTATCAGTATCTGTTGCCAGAGTGATGCACTGCTAGAACAGATCAACCTGTAATGGCACATCAATTATAACCCCTAAACCACAGTTTTTGGTGTCCACTCTTGTACATTCTATGAGTTTGGGCAAAGATATAATGATATGTATTCTCTTTACAATATCACGCAGAATGGTCTCATTGCCCTAAACTCCTCTGTTCTCCATGCTAGCCCGACTTTTTTAGCCATTAAGCTGCAGAAGTTGTGTGACTTGCTGCAAGCCACACAAGGTGGAGATTAAAGCCAGGGCTGCTACTCCAGCTCATTGGTCTCTGTACTGTCCTGAAAATCAGTAATTACCTGGTGAAGGATAAACACTACAACTTCCCTCTCCAACCATTCATTCAAAGAAAATAGATACCATAAATTCAAACCAAAAAAATTGATGGAACTGCTTTTGATTATAATCAGTCTTCAGGATATATTTACTCTCAATTTACTGTCCACTTCCTAGACCCACTGCTACCTCACTGTTCTCTGTTCATTTTCATATCTTCCCACAATACACTTACTAGTATTTCTGGCATTCGAGGCTTTGTGTCTTACTCATTTTCTGCTTCATTTCATGCTCGACTATAATTTATTCATGTCCATTGTTGAATATTCCGTATGTCTCTGCTAGCCATCCCACATCCTCTTTGATGGATCTTGAGCTGGAAATAATCTTCTCTTTGAATATCCAGAATGGCTTATCCAAATCCATGACACTCAGCACTTCCTTACCGGGTGCCTTTCTCAGAAGGACACACTGACCCTGACTGCAGAAACAGGGTGAGAGTCATCACCGGTTCCCTCAGAACAGGGCCTCGGCAGCACATAAAGCTGCTAGGGTGTGCACCTTAATAAAAACAATTCTGAAGGAATAGTTCCAGTAATTGAGCTGCAACTGCAGCACCTGATAGCCAGGAATTTGTCTTGGGAGACCACTCACCACGTGCCTGAGGGCAATATTCGTCATATTTGGATCACTATGGATGAAAACAGTTGCTACGTGCTAGTTCATATCCACCAACAGATGGTCCTTCCGAACCACCACCGTAAAGTTCTTTTTTTTAAAAAAAAAGATTTATGTAATTTTATGTATTCATTCATTTATCTGAATATGACCAGAGAGAACACAGACAGAGGGAAAGTGAGAAAGCAAGCCACCAGTTCTAGGACTCAAACCGCACCACTCTAAAGTTCTAAGTTAGCTTTCTCACATACGTAACGTGCATTTATGGTTTGTTCTCTCCCGTGCATTATCATCATTCACAAATTCTAAGTGTGTTTACACCTGCTTACCATGGGCACTCAGATACACATTGTGAACATTAATTCAAAATATGTAACGGTGTGAAAGCAGAACTGCAAGGCAAAGACAATGTCTTAGAGAAAGATTTCAAGTGCAAGCTGTGCCTGGGACATAGCAGATGTGTGTTAATATGTGTGGTGTTGTGTTGTATACACACATGATCACAACACTTGATTTAAGTAGTCTTCTTACTTGCTAGGGAGCTTCCAGGTTTCTGAAAGACAGAAAGGGGGTCCTGCCCACACAATCCAGTGAAGAACACTGGGTTGGGAGTAACCAGACCCAAGTTCATGGAGCTGTTGCCACTGTAGAGCTCCAGGAGGCTACTTAACTATTCTGGGTCTTGGATGCCTATATTCTGGGCTGTCAAACCCAGTGGCTGCCACTCAGCACTCTCTCTCACACTGAGCTGGCCTCTAGTTCAGCAGCTGAGTGACCTCTTGAACTCGCCCAGCATGGTACTGCCTGCAGTTGTGACGGCTTCCCCGGTAGTGGGTGTCAGGAGCATCACTTGAATATTTTGCTGCATTTTTCTCCTATTGTTTAATAAACAATAGCAGTAGGCAACAATATGAAAGTGCTGATACCTGCAATGACAATGACAAGTCCCACGCCATTTTCCACGGAGACATGAATGGAAATTGTTAGTACATGAGAGCCTAAGTTCAACCTGTTACTTCTGGAATCAGTCTGTGAACTGTGTGTTTCCCAGGCATGGGGTGGGGGAGAGATACACAAATGAGAAGCTGTAAGGAGATACTTTCTACTATTCACCAAGTGCTTACTCTGCTAAGTGCTTAACATCGTTGTGATTCCACTTGACCCACTGAGAGAGTAACTCCGTAGAATCCCTAGTTTACAGCTGACAAACGCCTCCTAGGCTAGTCACATGGGCCACGTGCTAAAGCAGCAGAGCCAAGATCTGAGCTACAGGCTTATTAGGTCCTGGCATCAGAATGCCTCACTCCATGACGGGACATTTACGTGATCTTCAGCAATTTAAACGTTCTGTACCTCAATGTCCTCAAAATGGGGATGATAGCATCCATCTCATAGAGCTGAATGGATGAAATAAAGCACAGAAAATGCTAAACTCAGTGCCTGATACATAGTTACAACAGTAACTTTTGCTATCTATCATTAAGCACTTTCAAAATGCTGGAAATATAGGAGAGGTGTTTGCCTGTACACAGACTGTTTTTCACTACACAGACTGTGGGCTAAAATATATAAATACATTCAAAAGGGCATTAATCATTTGAGTTGCCCAGTATTTGGTCTGTCTGGGTCAGGTATCAAGTACTGACTTGGTGCCCCCTCAGTTCAGACCCCAAAACACCAGTTTTTAACAGTTAGTTCCTGTGCCAGGCCCTTCCAAGACTTGGGAATTGTTTTTATGTTCCAACTCCTTTCCTAAGGCTTTTGGTTTTAAAATAAGGTCACCTTTCTCACTGAGTCATCAGATGCTTGTGGGCTTTCACTCTAAGAAATAAGATCTTCTCACTTTTGTCAAAACATAGTAGACTCTCTGGGACCAGCAGTTAGCGTAATGGCTATGTTGCTGGACTCCCACGTAGTTGACCTTGGTTCGAGTCCCAGATCTGGTGGCTTAAACTCACGCCAGGCGTGAGTGTGTGCGTGCCGAAGATCCCGAGAGGAGAATGGAGGAGAAGGGATTGCGGTGTGGCCATCCCCACTGGGGAGTGATTTCTAGCTTTCTGTCTCTCTGTCTCTCTCTGTCTGGCGAACACACGCGCCCAGAGCAAAAACCTCTCCCCTGCAAAAAAGAAAAAACAGTAGACTCTCTCATCAGGACTTCCAGCAAGTGTTAATCTCCACTACTGCCCTTATTCTTCTCACCCCTGCCTAAGGGCATATTAGACTCTCTGGGCCTGCTCTACTCACCAGCTATCATGTTCTAGTTCCTTGAATAGTCCTGATCCCACTTCTGTCCTCAGCTTCAAGATAATCACATTGACTAGGATGGCTCATGCTCTCATTTTTTAAAAATTTTATTCATTCGTTCATTTCAATTTGACCAGAGAGAGACACAGAGAGAGAGAGAGAGAGAGAAAGTGAGAAAGCAAGCGACCAGGTCTGGGACTCAAACCGTGGTCAGCCATGTGGGAATGTCCAGTGCCTTAACCACCACACGACCTGCTGGCTCCCTCATGCTGTCATTTTTAAAGAACAATTCCCATAATCTACATTACAAAAATTCCTAACACTGTCACATCTTACTTCAACAGGCAACTTCCCCTTCACCTCAGCAAAGGATGAAAGGTTAGACGACAGCCATCTATGGGAGAAAGTGGCTTAAAAGGGAAAAGCATAAACGCATCTTAGGTAAGTCACCTAGACTTCCCAACATTTAGTAGCACACTATACAACAGGCCCAACTCTTCCTTCTGTAGCTCTACAGATGCTTACCTTGTAGAAGATTGACTCCGCGGTGATCACAGTGGAAACTGACTCAGGAGCTTTGATGGGCTATGAACAAAATGGAAGTAAAAACATTAGCGCATTCACAGTATATATGTGAGCATTCACAACATTTATGTGTATGTGAGCATTCTTTCAGGCATGTGTTTGTGTTCTATAATTGAGAAATAATAAAATTTGGCGATTAAAAAAATGCGATAAAAAGAAATGATTTTCGGGACCAGCAGTTAGCGAAATGGCTATGTCGCTGGACTCCCATGTAGTCGACCGCGGTTCGCGTCCTGGACCCAGTGGCTTAAAACTCATGCCAGGCGCGTGTGCATGTGTGCCCAAGATCCCGAGAGGAGAATGGAGGAGACGGGATTGTGGCGTGGCCATCCCCCTGAGGGGTGATTTCTTGCTTTCTGTCTCTCTGGTGAGCACCCATGCCCTATAGCAAAAACCTCTCTAAAAAAAAAAAAAAAAGAAATGATTTTCTGACTGTGGTGGCAAATCAGAGTTTTTTGAACTGCCATTTCTGCTATACTTTTTTTTAGCTCATCAGTTTTTTTCAGCTTAAAAATTGCTAAGAAACAAAGAACAAGCTTCTGACCACAGTGCTAAGTCCTAACACAAAGCCCTCTCAGAGCTTCCTTACGCACCAACATTCTAATTATAAAAATATATTGGCTCTAATAGCCTGAGCATGACAAAATGGAAGTAATAAAAAATGGGCAGGTGGATAAAAAGTGTCTACTAGCCAGTATTTTCTTTCTTTTCTTTTCTTTTTTTTGGAGAAGTTTTTGCTATAAGGCGCGTGCGCTTGCCAGACAGAGAGAAAGAGAGCGAGAAATCACCCCTCAGGGGGATGGCCACGCCACAATCCCGTCTCCTCCATTCTCTTCTCGGGATCTTGGGCACACATGCACACGCGCCTGGCATGAGTTTTAAGCCACTGGGTCCAGGACGCGAACCGCAGTCGACTACATGAGAGTCCAGCGACATAGCCATTTCGCTAACTGCTGGTCCCATAGCCAGTATTTTCCATTTCAACAGTGCAACTGGCTGAGACTAAGTATGATCCATATTCTAGCAAGCCTAATCTAAGGCTTTAGAAACTTTCTTAGGAGTTTTTAGGAATTTGTCACCTTCCAATCATCAATGAAAACCCTTCTTAAGCTGCAAAACACACTTTTACACCACAACATAACTAAGCTTTCCCAAATCCGTCTTGGTACCAAACTTGAAAAAAGGTGTCTCAGAGATATTAATAAGGAAATAATTGCGAAGAACAGTTCACAGTTCTTAAAAGGAACATGTTTATAAGTGACAAATATTTACTTAACATGCTTTATCTAATCAAAAAGTCCTTATTTAAAAAAACAACAAAAGTATAAAGCAAATTAAGGAAAACTATTTTAAATAAGAAAATCTGCAATATATACAAGAATCTACTGCACAGGGCTCCTTTATGTTTTGCGAGTACGTCCAATTCTAAAAATGCCGTTTCTGGTAAATAAAGCATTCCTGTTCCAAAAGGAAAGACTAGCATACTGAGGTTAAAAAAATAGTCTATTAATACATTGTTCACTGTATCTGTCTCCTTGTATTTACAGAAATGACAAGAACTTACTATAACAGATTGCTTTCAACTACCTCTAGCACTTGGTCTTTCAACAAGCTCTTTACTTATAGCAGAAGAGGAGATGAAGAAGGTTTAGCAAAATTTTGACTCATCTTCATCAAATACATTATCATAAATAAGTCAGATACCTTTCCTGGGGCTTTAATAACAAATGAATATGGAAATGATGAGTTTCACTATTATTTACTTAGATCTTTAAAGAAAGGTGGAAATACACTTACCTAGTGTGCTCGGCCATATCAAGAATCATGAGTAATTTCTACTCTTTCTTTACATAGAGAATCCGATAAAACGGGTCCAAAGTTGATACTTCTTTTAGACTACGTTTTATTGGGAACCAGCAGTTAGCATAATGGCTATGTCGCTGGACTCCCACATAGTCAACCGCGGTTCGTGTCCTGGACCCGGTGGCTTAAAACTCACACCGGGTTGGGAACCAGCAGTTAGCATAATGGCTATGTCGCTGGACTCCCACGTAGTCGACTGCGGTTTGCATCCTGGACCTGGTGGCTTAAAACTCACGCCGGGCGCATGTGCGTGTGTGCCCAAGATCCCGAGAAGAGAATGGAGGAGAAGGGATTGCGGCGTGACCATCCCCCCTGGGGGGTGATTTCTCGCTTTCTGTCTCTATGTCTCTCTGTCTGTCTGGTGAACGCACGTGCCCTATAGCGAAAAAAAAACCTCTCCAAAAAAAACCAAAAAACCAAAAACCAAAAAACCAAAACTCACGCTGGGCGTGTGTGCGTGCGTGTCCAAGATCCCGAGAGGAGAATGGAGAAGAGATTGCGGCGTGACCATCTCCCCTGGGGGGTGATTTCTCACTTTCTGTTTCTATGTCTCTTTCTGTCTGGTGAGCGCACACGCCCTATAGCAAAAATCTCTCCAAAAATAAATAAATAGACTACATTTTATGTTTAATAAAAGCTAAAAAGAGAGAGAGAGACTATTACTAATTTTACAAACAGTAAGCCTCCAGTAACAGAGTTTATTCCCTTTGGGGAAGTCTGAACCATTCCTTGGAACACCTTGGAAAGCCCTGGAGAGCAGAGTTCAAATTCAATGGTGAGAAATGAAGGCAGGGGCAGGACATAGCACACGGTCATTACGGTAAAATACACTGTCCCCAATCAGCTTACATTTTTTAATTTAAAAATATGTCTTCTTCCTTTTCCTTTAGTGGAAACTTTCTTTTCAGCAGCTGGTGCAGATTTGTATTTAGTGTTTCTAAGCCGAGCAGACCTCCTGTGAATTTCCTGCTTACTCTGTCATGAAACAAAGAACAACAAAAAAGAAAAACTGTAAAATGTTGTGGTCTCAATACAACCACCTTACAAGGATGTTCTTAAAAGATTTATAAATTGAGAGAGCATTTTTTTTGGTTGTTTTTAAGGTTAGGTAATTTCACCAAATAGGGCTAAACAACCAGCGTTTCCAAAAAGGTATGAGCTGCTTTCAACAGAGCAGGGAAAAGGAGTAGGAGGTCTAGGCCAAAGCGAGGCCTACTTGCGTTCCTAATAGTGAAACACCCTTTATGAACTTAACTCCCGAATGCCTGACAGTAGGTTATCGCACCTCTTACAATGAAATACTTACACCGCCCTTTAAAATGACATAATCATCTTAATAATATAATGACATGATAAACTTTTAAGAGGTCCAGGGCATACAACATCTGTCGACTGACCCTGTTCACGGCAGTGGATACTGAGACGTCTGGTTGCTCCCCCAAATATTATTACAAAACGGGAATTTCTGAAGGGATTTTATTTATCTTGCTTCTTTAGACTATGCTATCTCACAATGAGAAAAGGGGCTTGAGTGTGGGCCAAACCAATGAAGATCTTCCCATCCCGGGGCGGGGAGGGACACCCAGCCAGCCTGCGCGGCGCTCAAAGGCCCTCGCGCTCCCCAGGTGCGGCCCGGGCGGCGCGAGGGGCCGGAGGAGCTCACCTGCTTGCCGCCCCCGCCCCCGTTGCTCTGCGCAGGAG